GCCTAGCTGCCAGCTTGAGGGGAAGGAGAAACAAAACCCCACACCCAAGCCTGTGTAAAACCCCCACAAAACACCATCCACAACATATGGAAGCCAGGTGCCCTCTTCCTTCCCCTGATCCTCCTTGTTGGGATGGCTTTTGTGCCATGCAGCAGCTCTTGTCATCCCAGAGGGGTTGGACTCAGCTGAGGACAAAATGCAGAAATAAAGGAGCCTAAAACATAATGAGAGCACTGACAGCTCACAGCAGCACAACCTGCTTGGGGAAAAGAATTCCTCTTGTTCCATCAAATAGGAGGGACATTTGACCCCAGAAGTGAGTCAAATGTGAAATGTAATTCAACCTCCAGCAGAGGCCAGGGTATAAATGCGAGCTGACATCTGATCAAACCATCATGGACATTTGACCCTCGAGATGAGTGAGGTATCTCTTGTGTCTTGTGGAGTCAGCAGAGCATCATTCCTCACTCCTGTCAATTTTCCTTCTTTCTTTCCCACCCCCACTCCCCACACAAAGGCAAGGAATTAAGTAATGTGAAAAATCCCAAGGAATACACAGGTACGAAGTGCTCTGAAAGATCAGTAAAAATGAAACAGTGCTGGCAAAAGAAATAAAAACACCTGCAAAATCAGTGGGAAAATATATTTATTAAGGTCATGGTGATAAGGACAGTGACACCAGGAAAGGGAAAGGTTGAGGAATGAGGTTGGTTTTAATTGGCATTGTGACTCTTGCACTTGCAGGAGGAGTCCATAGGTGCTCTAAAAACATGAATTAACTCTGCCTGGGAATCCCCTATGAGAAGGTACCATCATCCCATGTGCTGGGTGAAGAAAAGGAGGAGCTGCCTTGTCAGGGAGCTGGGGATGATGTGATGGGGTTGTGGGGACTGCCAGGCCCTGGCCTGGCCTTGGGGACCACTGTTCCCTGGCTTTGGGATGTGACTTGTACCTGCTCAGTGTGTGCCTGCTCAGTGAATTATGGAAAGCCTTAAGGGGGGTGTTTCTGCATTTCCCCTCCCTCATGAACATCTCTGACTGCTAGCAGGGCAACAGGCAGCTTGAAGGAGGAAAGAGCTGATTATTTATCACTGGGAAGTTTGGATCCTGTGCTCTGCCTAATCCCAGGAGATTTCAGTGCATGGCTTATTCCAGCTGAGCAACCAGCCCATTGTTGTTTGTCCCAACAAGTTAATTTGTGTGACTCCTGATGGAAAGGCTGTTCAACACCACTGTGGTTTGTTCAGGCCAGGGAGAATGTAAAAGCAGCTCTTTGCTTTTGGAAGTGAGGGCACAGACAGGA